AATAACCCAGTGCAAAACGTAATCACCACCGACGTTTGGTTAGTCTTACATAATACTAAACCAACTACATATTGACATTCGAACAAATGAGCAATTCCCCAAAACCACAATATTGCTTCATGTGGCTGGTTACTTCTTGTTTGCAAGCTACACCAGGTGAAAACTCTTTGCCGCTACAAGATTGACCTACTTCAAATCATTGTTCGGGGAAAATGCTATAACGTACGCGTAGCGCTTTTGATAAGCTTGATCTGGCCTTTGCCCGCCCTCCTCAGCTCAGGATTCCAAGTTTTCGAGACACCACCCTTATACGTCTCCATGTAACGTATTGTCATCACTCCGATGTCTGCCTGGTCGACACCCCCAGTCCACGCTGTGTCAAACACATCATGAACAACAGTGCAATTAATTTGGAACTTTTCCAAAAATTCCATTCGCCTAGAAACTTTGAGATCGACCTTTGCTGCAATAAATGTGATACTGACTGTCAAAAGAACATTCAGGCAATTGTAATTATAAAAAATGTATTTATATATTTACATAATTACCAACAGCTCAAATCGTGGCATAATCGATCTCATAAAAGCTCTATCTTTGCAAGTTCCAGAACTGTGTATAAGATTATCACCTTTTGGGATTCCGGAACAACGCATATTGCCGTGAAAATGTCTCCGAGTGCACTGAAAATAAAAATTGCAATAACGATAAAACATGGCAGAGATTAATTATCACACAACATAAATGATTTAATTGAATGAAAGGCCACTCATGTATACACTTAGTGTTAAATAAAGTCACATGATGATTCGGGAATTGATACCATACCACACGTATTTACTTCAGTTCGTTAATGGACAGCCGTGCAATTTCAGAATCAAGGGTTTGAGCAAACTTCTTATAGCTCGTCTCTTTTTTATGTTTTTCCCTCAAAGAACAATTACAAGCCACAATAGCATGAAACGATATAAAATATATTTAAACATATAATATTCGTACCACTGACAATATTATATAATTCACATAAGATAGCGTGTCATACCTCGTTTCACGGGAAAGTGGATGCAAAAAAACGGGTTGCAGCACCTCGACTTATAAAGTTCTCGTTGTGGTTTAGTATGGAAAACCATAGGTCAAGCAACTCCTTACTAATTGGAGTGTCGGGGTTCAGAGATGCCACAACCGACTTCTTCAAAGAGAATTCGAGTGACTGAAATACAATCACGCCACTGTGACATTTCACAAGATCGTGAATGAATAAAGATTAAAACATTCCAATACACGAATATAACTGAATATATAAGCATATGATATAAGAATATAACCATATATATATATATATATTCACACTCGTCACAAGGGTCATTCTTCAGCACCCATTTAACAACCATCTTTTATTCACGTCCAGTTTTTTCGTCACATCAATCTCCCTCTTCATATAAGGGGATTTGATTGCACTGGACGCCTTGGTGTGCCTCTTTGGCCTCACAGGCACGTTTACATCATTACCACAATATACTTAGCAAACAGTTTCTGAAAAAAAAAAATGAAAAAAGAAAAGAAAAAAAAACATAAGCAAACATAATGGCACATAACATATTTTTTTAGTACATTAAATAGATGTGAACATAATGTACATACTTGCAGTGACTTGATATTTGTCATGCAACCCAAGTTCTTTACCGGTTGCCAACTGCTCAAACGGACCAACACCACCTTCGCGAAAAATGATAAAAACATATTAATATAACACAACTAAAGTACACAGCGAAAAACACTACGTCGTAAAATATTAACATAGACAACAATTTTATCAAAAACCTATTTGCACATCTATATCGGGTGACTTCTCGACAGTTTGATCCTTCCCATTATGTCCAGAACCCACACCAATCTCGCTCGTATGTTGGTGACAGCTGTCACCGACATCATCGTCATCTGACCAGATGCCTAAGCTGAAACTGGGCATGTCAAGCTGAATCCTCTTGAAACGATCACGTCGCTCGACCGCCTTCAAAATCACATCTATCGCCGCCAATGTTTCAGGATCATTTTCGAATGCATCATCTACTACCTGATATGCAGCACCATTCGCATTCACCTTAGCCGTATCACTCGTGGGGACTGTATGATTCTGTTGGCTTTGATCATGATGGCCGGAGTTTGCTTTAGGAAATTCCATATGCACACCTAGAAGCTTTTGCGCCGCGCCTTGTATTTTCATAAAGTTTTCAGCTCCGACTAGAACTTGTGGGGCCTTCTTAACCAGCTGCAAAATTTCATCTCCGATTGTAGCAAGTAGCTGAGTCTTAGATGCGAATTCTTGAACGTAAGCCTGTTAGTAAAAATAAAAAAAATAATAAATTGCACGTATAAACGTAAAATTAAAATCACTAAACAAATACATAAACCACCCATAGCGATGTAATATAATCACACACATTTTAATTCAATGATGTGCACAATTATACATCAGGTGAAACACAATATATATTATAGAATAACATACAAAAAAAAAAGAAATAATAATAATAATAATAATAATAATAATAATAATAATAATAATAATAATAATAATAATAATAATAATAATAATAATAATAATAATAATAATAATAGTAATAGTAATAGTAATAAAAGTGTAAGAAAGGTAAAATATAAAAAATGATAAGGTGACATATATTGTATAAAAAAAACAAACAGGGAAATGATCAAATAACAAACAATAACATTAACATCAATAATATCACATACCTGCACACTGGGTTCCATTGTGCTCCTGATCTCGTTATCGTTGGCTGTGGCATCCTCAACTCTATCTAGTTTGTGACGGTCGACGATCACGTGCATGTTTGCATCAACAAACCCCCTCCCAAAAGCTCCAGAAGCAATCTTATCTCATTCCCTAGTTTTTAAT